CCCCTTGAGTTGGTTTTTAAAAGGCCATTCAAATTTGCAGCAACATGGATGGAACTGGAGGGTGTTATGCTAAGTGAGATGTCAGTCAGAGAAAGACAGATATCATGTTTTCACTCATATGTGGATCTTGAGAAACATAACAGAAGACCATGGGGTAGCAGGGAAGAAAAGCTACAGAGAGGGAGGGAGGCAAACCATAAGAGACTCTTAAATACTGAGAAGAAACTGAGGGTTGATGGGGAGTAGGGGAGAGGGGAAAGTGGATGATGGGCATTGAGGAGGGTACTTGTTGGGATGAGCACTGGGTATTGTATGGAAATCAATTTGACAATAAATTATATTTTAAAAAATAAAAATAGCCAACATTCAAGGCTCTTCATGTTCTGGTCCCTATATATCATCCGATCTCTCTCTCTCTCTCACCCAGAAATAGGCTATAGCTTTGCTGTAGCTCAGATAATATTCATAACTTTCTACTTCCATGCCCACATTCATGCCATTCTTCATACTAAAATGTCCTCCAATCTCAACACAACCCAATTCCATTATCCCTCAACATACCAATTCCTCGTATTTTATAAAGGAGATCGATCTTATGAAGCCTTTCCTGATCCCTCCAATCGTATGTTCTCTCTCCCTTCTTTGAAATTCCACAAGATTTAATGACATTTCTCTTATGGTATATATGTCAGTTAGCCCTGCATTACAGCCTGGTAATGTTTTTGTCTCAAGATAATAATCTGTGACATTAGACATTACATTATTCACCCATAATCCCAAACAAATGGGAGGTTATCAGTAGCTTATTTGACAGGACAAATATAGAAAGGACAGTTTAGAACAGAAACTGAATAAACAATGGCACTAAGTTAAGAACATTTGTGGCTTATGCCTAAAATGGTGACTACTGGGGTGCCTGGGTGGCTCAGCCGGTTGAGCATCTGGCTTCGGCTCAGGTCATGATCTCATGGTTCGTGGGTTCGAGCCCCATGTCAGACTCTGGGCTGATGGCTAGCTCAGAACCTGGAGCCTCCTTCTGATTCTGTATCTCCTTCTCTCTCTGACCGTCTCCTGCTCATGCTGTCTCTCTCTCTCTCTCTGAAATAAATAAAACATTTTTAAAAAATGGTAACTACTGCAGTTTCTTTTAAGTTTATTTATTTTTGAGATAAAGAGAGAAACACTCTCCACAGAGAGTGGAGGAGGAGCAGAGAGAGAGGGAGACACAGAAACCGAAGGAGGCTCCAAGCTCCTAGCTGTCAGCAAAGACCCTGATGCAGGACTCAAACCCACAAATCGTGAGCTCATGACCTGAGCCAAAGTTGGTAGCTTAACTGACTGAGCCACCCAGCTGCTCCTGCAGTTTGATTTCTGAACATAGCTTTTAGTTGACAGAATCTCAGTGGTTAAGTTTGGAAGATGGGTTGGATTCAGATTACAGGGCCTTGAATGCCAGGATAATAAAAATGGCATACACTTAGCTCCTAAGGAGAATCGCTGATGGCTTTAGAAGCTGAAGAGTAACAAAACCTGAGATAAGAAAATCAAATGAGAAGCACTCTGGCTGACATACTAGCCTCCTGGGAATCTGGCTGGAGGCAAGTCCATCCCTGAGAGAAGAGTCGAGTCTTGGTGTGCTGATAAAAGTGCGTAATCTGCGAGTGGATCTGTGAGTCCTGGAAAAGTCACGAAGCTAAATACTGCTGTGTAGGCTTCCTGATAACCCGGTATTTTAGTACCCCCCTCAATAAAAGGAAATAGGTTCAAACCAAAGCATCATTACCCATTTCCAAACTGTTGAAAAAAAGAATATTCTATATTTTTTCCAGAGAAGACAGAGGGGAAGAGAAAACACACTACATACAAAGCATGGAGACTCAAACAAGCTTCAGATTCCTCAGCAAAACCACTTGAAGCCAGAGGACAGAGGGAAACTCTTTCAGATTCAGAAAGGAAAGAATTTCTAACCTAGACTTCTATGCTAAGCCAAACCATCAATGAAGGTAAGGGGAAAATGAACACATTCTCACACACTCAGAGTCTCTGAAAACTTATCTTCCATGCACCTTTCTCAGAACACACTGAAATAAAGATATAAATGAAGAAAAAGAAAAAGAAGGCATAAAAGAAACAGGAAAGGCAATGCAAGAGGGAGGCACAAAGAGTCCTCAGAATAACGAGGAGCCAGGACAGCACCTGGGTGCCCAGCCAAAATGGCAACCGCTCTAGACGGCAGGGGGTCAGGAATCCTTGGGAGATGTTTCCTTAAGAGCATCTGATGCTACTCCCGGCCAAACAGGCTGGGTGGGGAGAGTCATCTTAGCAGATGACATGGCTCACTGGGATTATATAAATGATGTAAATACTGAATACTAATCTACCTAAAATAATACATCTTTTTGGGAAGGCTATGGGGATGTGGAATTGAGTAGAGAAGGGGGAAGCAGGAGTAAGGAAGGAAAGTTAAATATTCAGCTTCCATAGTAAGAATCAATCGATACAGACTCTTAAGTACAGAGAACAAACTGAGGGTGGATGGGTGGACGGTGGAGGAGAGGAGAAAATGGGTGATGGGGATTGAGGAGGGCACTTGTTGGGATGAGCACTGGGTGTTGTATGGAAGCCAATGTGACAATAAACTACATTAAAAAAAAAAAAAAGAATCAATCTATACTGTCTAAAACCGAAAAGTCACGAAGTGACAATCTAAGCATGTTATTTGGAAATAAAGGAGGTCTACGTGCATGAACACGTTAAAAATTGTAAATGTTTCGGGTGCCTGGGTGGCTCAGTTGGTTGAGTGCCTGACTCTTGGTTCCTCCTATGGTTTGTGAGTTCGAGCCCCACATCGGGCTCTGCACTAAGCATGAGGAACCTGCTTGGGATTCTCTCTCCCCACTGTCTCTGTTCCTACCCTACTCATGCTCTTTCTCTATCAAAATAAATTTTTAAAAAAAGAAAAAAGAAAAAAAAAGTTGTAAATGTTTAAAAGACAGCCACTGTGATACAACCACTTGGGATGTTGGTCTGGCAATATCTAATAAACGTAAATTCATACCAAACAATTCCACTGCTAAGTGTTAACCTCACAAAATCTCACACGTGTACGTGGATTGTTTATTGCAGCGTTTTTCGTCATAAGTAAGGTTTTGGAAATAACCTAATGTCCAACAAGAGAAAAATGGCATGTAGTGTGATAAATATAAATTCATGAAGTGTGATATAAATAAATTCATGAAGTGTGATATATATAAATTCAATGTAAGACCATACAACAGTGAAAAATGGAAGCCTGGAGCGATGAGTAGCCAACATCAATAAATCCAAAAACTGTGTTAAGTAGAAAAGCAGGTTAGAGAGAAAAGAGAAACAACATATCACGCTATTTACATAATATTCAGAATAATACCATATATGTTCATATAACATATATACACACACATACACATATATCAGGATCATAATTCCCTCTGGGGTAGAAGAGTGGAAAATGAGGTCAGAGAAAGGTTCACAGAAGGTTTTGATTTTCCTTATAATGCTTTATTTCTTATGATATATAATAATACCTCAGTCTCCATTACAGTATCTATAATTTTTGTGTATAACTACAGTATTTCTAGGAGCTTCTGTTCAAATTTGGAAAATTAAACTCCTACATTTAATTGTCCTTTATCTCCAAATACGATCAGAGGACCCTAATCCTTTAGGCAAACTCATAGAGCTTCAAGTTTCAGAATTCTGAATTCTTTGGATTTTAGAAGGGATTCTACAAGTCCATGTATTACATTCCACTTTCAGTGGGATCTGTGGTCCAGTGATGTTCAAAGTGAGCATCTGACACTACCCAGGTGGTTGTTCTCCCGTCAGGACACATGAGCCACCAGCCTGGCCCCAGGCAAATAGCCCTCTCTCCTCCAACCTGCACTGACTGCCTCTGAGGAGCAGAGATGGGAAGCAAGTGAACGGGGACACTGTTAGGCCTCTGTGAAGACTCTGGACTCTGTGCTACCCAGATCTTTAAGTACCTAGGACCTCCCTGACTCCTGACTTACACCAGGGCACTAGCGCCCACTGCTCTGTAGCCCTGCCCTACTGTGGGGCAAATACACCACCTGATTCCTGCTGAACTCATTTCCTGCTTTATTTCAGTCACTCTTAGGCAGAGCATTGAGAATGACGCAGCTCTACATCCCAGTCCGTGTCCTGCCTCTCCAAAGCCAGACTACACACACACACACACACACACACACACACACACACACACACACACTCACAGCACTCTAAAGCAGATTTCCTTTCCCTGACCTCCTAACTGATCAACCTTGCCTACATTTGCCCGAATCTGCTCACCCATGTTCCCCTGTGCCCCCACCACTCATCACCCAGGGGCTCTGTTTTCCCTGCCACTGCTAGCATCTTGCTAACAACCCCCCCCCAAACTGGGTTTGGTTGCCCTCAATCGCAGCATGACGTATAATCAGCCTCAGGAAGTGTTGAATACCTACTTGCTTTTGAAAGCCGATGCTGAAAAATATTTTTATTTTTGTTGCTGATTAATCTGACTAATGAAATAAAGAACCCTGTGCTTAGTGTAGGTCCCATTAAACATCTGTTATGGTAATCAACACCCTGGCTATTATCGCGGGTGACATTCTGAATTGATATTGGCAATAGAATCAATACCCAATTCCCTCAATACCAAATTCAGTGAGCACAGTATGCAACTGGGAAAAGGTGAGAGGAAATACCCGTTCTCCTCCATAAGTCCGTTCTCCTGACTTGCCAAGTGGCCAGTCAGCTACTTTTATGTTGGTCAACCTTGTTGATTTACTGTGTTTGCTAAATGCTCAGGCCTTACACAGAGCAGAGGCAAAGGCTCTCAGGCACGCCACGGGGCTTTCAAGGGGAGTTCCACCCTGTCCTCTTTGGGAGGGAAGCAGAAGTCAGCTCTGGAGCAGGATGTCAGCAAGCAAAGGGACAAAGGCAAAAGCCCCACTTACCATAGAAGAGGAGTGCTTTGGTCATGCGATGATGTAGGTAGGTCCGGTCGATGGTGAAGAAGCACGCATCTGCTCCGCACTGGCCTAGCCTTCCGGTTTCCCCAGTCAGTGGGGACCACCAGAGCATGATGGGGTAGTTATCGGTCTCCAATTTCTTTTTCAAGTTCAGCGCTTCGTTCTCAGGGAGTGGATAGAGATGTGTAGGCTCCTCCTCCAACTTTGCTTGTCCATCTCGCACATTGGAATTTTTAAACTTCTTCCTTTCAAATCTTCCCAGCTCAACCACTACCTGAAAGAGAAGACAATTACCACAGAGTTGGATTGTTTAATTTCCATTTGCACATCTCCCATTCAACTGCACGACTGGGCCTCATATTAGTTCTCTATTGCTGCTATAACAAATTACCACAAACTCAGCAATTGAAAAGAACACATGTATGATTACACAGTTCTAGGGGTGAGGAGTCTGCCCTGGGTCTCACCAGGCTAACCGCAAGGTGTCGACAGGGCTACATTCTTCTCTGGAAGCTCTGGAGAATCCATTTTCTTGTTTTCCTATCTTTTAGAACTACCCACCATTCTTGACTCGTGGTCCCTTCTCCATCTTCAAAGCCGGCCATGTTGCCTCTCACTGTTATTCTCTTGTCCACCTCTGTCTGACCAGGGAAGACTCTTAGCTTTTAAGGACTCGTGTGATTACACTGGGCTCACACCGATAATTCTGGATAATCTCCTCATCTCAGTGTGTCACCTTAATCCCATCTGTAAGGTCCCTTTTGCCATGTACATTTACATATCTACCAACAGGGATGCTTTGCTCTACTTACCACATACCAGGTACATTTTTCTATGTCATAGGCATCGACTATATCCAGACATAGTTTCATCTCTTAATGAAGCCCGTGAGAACCAAGGCTATTACCTGGCTATTGCTGGAGAACACAGTCTAGGGAAAATTAATTATGAATTACCAATCGGTTTCTTTTTAGTACAGTTAAAGGAGTCATAACGCAGGTCTTACATTTCTAAGAATTTCCACTGTGATATCAAGTGAAGGCTACAGTGAGCCCTGGGCTCCCTTCCATGTAAAACTATGTGGATTGATTTCAGGACAGTCTGGGTCACTGGACAGCTAGGAGTCAGTACCGGAATCTGGAGTGCAGGGTGGACAGAGTAGAAACAGGAAGTCAGTTATTCTCCAAAAATGCTGCCTCTTCATCAAATTTTAAGGGTAGATATTGATATGGCATTATAAAAATATGTTAGAGGAAGCGGCATAAAAGTAGGAACTGGACTGTGTCACACAGAAATGAAATGTTAGCAGCTGGATTATGTGACAAATCAGTCCGTAAAAGGCACGCATACTTTTATGTATTAACTCCTCCACCAGCCAACAGATGATATCTGTGTGGCCCCCACCCCAACTCTCGGCAGCCAGGGTGGTGCCTTCTTTCTGTGTTTGAGATCCTGGTGTCAAAAAAGGGCCACTGTCTGCTGACAGAGTCTGCAGCTTGCTGGCAACGGTCCACAACATTCACCAGATTTCCTGAGGGATCCAAGGCCAAAAAAATATCAAAAACCACCGAGTGACAGCCAAGTAGCACTCCAAAAAAAGTGAGAAATTATACTGGCTTTAAAAAATCATGGGTCACTTGTGACACCGAGGCCAGCATATGACAGTAAGACAATCACTAAAAACCAAAGAAAAGTCTAGTCCCTGACAACAACTTAGCATTTTCACGATAACATAAGAAGGTAGCTATTCCCCAGCCCCTTGACGGACTAGAGCTGACGTTTAGCCACAAAATCTGTATCTTTTCCCCAGACCTTCCCCCGCAAATGTACAACAGTTTTAAAAAGAGGCTTTTAGAAAGTCATGGAGAAAACTTCAAAGACAAATTTTGTTCCACATTTCTGGTCAATGTCTCCTATATGAGGTGTAAGTTCATTTCCCAAGAATAGGGATGATTTTTTCGCCAAGTAGTTTTGGTTGTTGTTGTCTCGTTTGTTCAAGTTTATTTATTTATTTATTTTGAGAGAGACAAAGACAGCAGAAGTCGGACAGGCACAGAGAGGGGGGGGGGACAGAGGACCCGAAGTGGGTTCTGTACTGATAGCGGAGAGCCTGATGCGGGGCTCGAACTCGCAAACTGTGAGGTCATGACCTAAGGCAAAGTCGGACACTTAACCGACTGAGCCACCTGGGCGCCCCTTTTCTACCAAATAGCTTTTAAAAAAAATATTAAGCCTCAGATATCACCACCAGGTGGTAGGAAATATGAAGGACAGAGAATATATTCAATACAACCATGAGTAAAATTGGCCAAATCCAAAATCTGGGAAATTCAAAAGGATAAATGACTGAGTATTTTCAACAAGCCTGTGACATGGAATAGAAGGTGGAGCAGAGAAAACTCTTATAGCAGAAAAAACAAAAACATTCAAAATTGGAGACACACCACCTAAGTGTGATATATGGGATTTGTGTGTATTCCAGATTCTAACCAACCCGTTATAAAAGACTTCTTTGAGATAACTGGGAAATTTTTAACAAGGCCTAGGATACGGGTAGTGCTTTTTAGTTATTATTAATCTGGCTTGGTGTGACAATAATTTGGTTATACTATACTTTTAAAAGTTCCCCTCTGTTAGAGAATCATATTAAAGTAAATCCAGGTAAAACAATACAAAGTCCTGGATTTGCTTTACAATGCTCCAAATGTATTCACGAATTATTATACAAGTAAAACGCAGATAAATTCAAAAACTAAAGATGCATGCACACCCAAAGAATTTACAGATAGTATATACAAAATATAGTAAAATGTGAGTGGAAAACAATGTCTCAGATGGAAGGATTTCTGCCAGGGAATCACTATGCTTTAACTTAACTGAAGATTAGTGTAACATTTTCAGGGTTACATTACTTATTAATTATGCTATCAGGTCTGTTATGGGCTAAATTGTATCCTGTCCCCCAGATTCATTCAGTGTCGTCCTAACTCGCACCACCTCAGACTATGACTGAGTTAGGGGAAAGGGTCTTTAAAGAGGTAATTAAGCTAATAGGGGGTCATCAAGGGGGACCCTAATTCAATATGACTGGTATCCTTATAAAAAGAGGACATTAGGGGGGCACCTGGGTGGTTCAGTCAGTTAAGTGTCCGACATCGGCTCAGGTCATGATCTCACGATTCGTGGATTCAAGCCCCATGTCAGGCTCTGTGCTGACTGCCAGCTCAGAGCCTGGAGCCTGTTTCGGATTCTGTGTCTCCCTCTCTCTCTGACCCTCCCCTGCCCACGCTGTCTCTCTCTCTCTCTCTCAGAAATAAATAAAAAATATTAAAAAAAAAAAAAAAGAACATTAGGACACATCAAAGTGAAGAAGGAAGATGATGTGAAGACACTGCAGAAAGACAGCCATCTACAAGTCCCGAGGAGAGAGACCTCAGAAGAAACAACCCTGTCTGCTGACACCTTGACCTTGGACTCCCAGCCTCCAGAACTGTGAGAAAAAACTTTCTATTGTTTCAGCCACTCAGTCTGTGGTCCTTTATGATGGCAGCCCTGGCATGATTTTTTTTTTTAATTTATCCTTTTATTACCCTACCTACCTGGCAACAAACCACCAGAAATAGGAATGGTCCTAAATGTGTGGGCATTATATTTTCTCGTGTATAGTGTTAAAAAAAAAAAATAGTACCACTGCAACTCTGAACATTGAAGCATTTATTTTACTAAAAATTTTTAATGTTTATTTGTTTTTGAGAGGGAGAGAAGAGCAGGGAGAGAGGAAGACACAGAATCCGAAGCAAGCCCCAGGCTCTGAGCTGTCAGCACAGAGCCTGACACAGGGCTTGAACTCACAAACTGTGAGATCATGACCTGAGCCAAAGTCAGACACTTAACTGACTGAGCCACCCAGGCGCCCCTAGACAGGGAAGCATTTAATATATCCATGTGGACAGGGAAACAGCCCAAACCACACTATTGGTAGCAAACTGAAATCGAGATGCAGATGAGGGTTCAGCTCTGGTAATCATACCACCTCTCATACTCTGAAAGCTTAGAAATGACAGCCATACCAAAAACATGGCTATTTCTTCCAACATCAAAGGAAAGGCTCTTCATTAGATGCAGCTGTTCCTTGTAACTGAAAAAGAATGCCAAAGTAATTGTCTAGTAAGACCAAAGCTCTCAGACCTTCCCACAGGAAGAAGTAGAGAAGCCCAGCCCCTCATGCACAAGCAAGTCCTGGACACGCATAGGACAGACAATCAAGAAGGCAAGGATTTCTTCTGACCACAGTCCCAGTTTGGCAGCTAAGGTGTAGAAGTCAAGCACCAGACTGTCTGCCACAGTGCTTTTATATGCAATAGCTCATTCAAGCTTAATCAAGAAGGAAGATTATCTTGAGTGAAAAAGCCCAGAGAACACCTCTATTTCCATCAGCCCTACACCTGAGCTGCTCAAGACCACAAATAATCTTTAAAAGTCCTTTGGATTTCTGGGGTGCCTGAGTGGCTCATTCCATTAAGCATCCAACTTCAGCTCAGGTCATGATCCCATGGTTTGTGGGTTTGAGCCCCACCTCGGGCTCTGTGCTGCCAGCTCAGAGCCTGGAGCCTGCTTCAGATTCTGTGTCTCCTTCTCTCTCTGCCCCTCCTCTGCTCATACTCTGTCTCTCAAAAATAAATAGACACTAAAAAAATAAAAGTCCTCTGGATTTCAAAATGGACAGCTAGTACTTGAATGGGTCCCAAATATATCTGAACTCCCATCTATACTTTCCCTATCACTGTAATTTTTACTCTCATTTGAGATTAGCAAATGAAGTTCAGAATCACCAACTAAATGAAATAAATAAGAAGACTGAAAACTGGTGCACTTCAAACACTCACATTCAGTGCTTGGTCTAAGTAGCAGATGTCAAGAATGACAAATGTAGTGGGGTGCCGGGGAGGCTCAGTCGGTTAAGTGACCGACTTCAGTTCCAGTCATGATCTTGCAGTTCGTGAGTTCAAGCCCCGTGTCAGGCTCTGTGCTGATGGCTCAGAGCCTGGAGCCTGCTTCAGATTCTCTGTCTCCCCCTCTCTCTGCCCCTTCCCTGCTCATACTCTATCTCTCTCTGCCTCTCAAAACTGAATAAACATTTAAAAATTTAAAAAGAGGGGCACCTGGATGGCTCGGTCAGTTAAGTGTCCGACTTTGACTCAGGTCATGATCTCACAGTTTGTGGGTTTGAGCCCCGTGTCGGGCTCTGTGTTGACGGCTAGCTCAGGGCCTGGAGTCTGCTTCAGATTCTATGTCTCCCTTTTTCCCTGACCCCCTCCTGTTCATGCTGTCTCACTATCTCTCTCAGAAATATATAAAACATCAGGGGCGCCTGGGTGGCTTAGTCGGTTAAGCGTCCGACTTTCGCTTAGGTCATGATCTCGCGGTTCGTGGGTTCGAGCCCCGCATCGGGCTCTGTGCTGACTGCCAGCTCAGAGCCTGGAGCCTATTTCAGAGTCTGTGTCTCCCTCTCTCTCTCTGACCTTCCCCTGCTCACGCTGTCTCTCTCTCCCTCTCTCTCCTAGAAATAAATAAAAATATTTAAAAAAAAAAAAAAGAAATATATAAAACATTAAAAAAAATTTTTTTTAATTTAAAAAGAAAAAAATGACAATGTACTAATGCATATGTTTGTGTTCCGTACGATAGACCATCTTACTCTCAGTATAGTCACAGCTTCTTCAATAATGCAATCTTTCAGAACCCATCGTGATAGGGGACTTGGAGAGAACCATCCAAATTTGACTCAGTAAGAGAGACCGAGTTCTGCTTTCTGTACTTCTATAACCAGGACCCCAGAGGACTCACAAATTGATCCCCCCACCTTTACTGATTTTGCTTCTATGATACACCCACTCACTAAAACCTCAGTTTCATCTATTCATAAAAACAGTCTCTTCCCTGCCTGAGACAGAGAACCCCCAATCCAGAGATATTAAGTAAAAAGTAAAGAATCGGAGAGAATGGAGTGGGCGAAGGCGGGAAAGGGTGGAGAGGCTCAGGAATCCACATGAAGTAACCCAAATTCTTGCTACCTGGAGTGTGATGAGGAGAAAGACGGAGGCTGTGATGCAGAGGCAAGGTGCCAAAAGCTTCCTCCTCTGAATCCACACCATGCTGCCCGGCCCTGGGTGACTGACAGGGGGCTAGCACGGCTACCAGGTGTTCTCGAGAAGGCCCACAGCCCAGGACAACTTCATGTGGATGAGCCATCTGGGTGTCCATGTCTTCTGCTGTCGCTCCTGCTGGGACCGGGTCTCCATGAAGGGCTGGGATCCGACGCTGTGCGCGTGCCCGGCTTGGCATCGAGAAGAAACAGCATGCAGTCTTCTTAGGCTATCATGAGAGCAGCTGGAGATCTCTTCAAACCAGAAGGCATCAAAAAATTCTGTAACAAATGAATAAGCTTTTAGCCATAGTGCAGAGTATTTAATAAATGTCTCTTCAGGCTATCAAGTAGAAACCCAAAGCTTTAAAATGAAAAGGAACCTTTGAAATCATGTAGTCTTCACTCCTAGATAAGGAAGCCAAGATCAGAGAGATGAGGTGACTTGGTCAAGGTCACACAGCCTATCAGAGGAGAGTTGACAGATCTACAGTTAGGACTGTGTCTAAAATTCTGATTGCACTTCATTTTCTCTGCCCCCAGGAGACTGAAATTCCACAAGTCACTTACATGTAGTCACCTCTTCCACCCAGGTTTCAAAGGAGTAGAGAAGTAGAATAGAAATTACCAGGATTATCCACCCACTCCTGGGAAAAGCAGGGAAAAAAATAAATAAAAGTTTCAGGCTTGGGTCAAAAGTGGATAATGATCAACAGACCCAAACTTCCTCTATGGAAAACAGCTTCAGCCACAACATAAGGACTTCTGATTATTGATTTAGTTGGTTAGTCTTTTATAGCAAGTGTAATAAAGCAGTGGGTTTTATAAGCAGTATGATTCTCTGGAAGTTCTGAAACAAGATTTCCATCTATCTGAAATGGATGATTGTTCCAAAAAGTTTTATTTATTTATTTTTAAATGTTTATTTATTTATTTGTGTGAGTTTGAGCAGAGACAGCGTGAGCAGGGGAGGGTCAGAGAGAGAGAGAGGGAGACACAGAATCTGAAGCAGGCTCTGAAGCTGAGCTGTCAGCTATAAAGCCCGACACGGGGCTCAAACCCACAAACCGTGAGATCATGACCTGAGCTGAAGTCAGACGCTCCTGTTTATTTTTGAGACAGAGAGAGAGAAGAAAGAAAGAGTATGAGTGGGGGAGGAGCAGAGAGAGGGGGACAGAGGATCCAAAGCAGGCTCTGAACTGAGAGCAGAAGGCCTGACTCAGAGATCATGACCTGAACCGAAGTCAGATGTTCAACCATCTGAGCCATGCACGTGCCCCCAAAAGAATGCCTTTTCCCAGGGTTCTGTAACGTCAAAGGTCTTAGCCTTTGACACAGTGGAGTTCAGAATAGGGCATGGATGAGTGTTCCTGAGGCTGCTCTACAGTCCTCCAAAAATCTGGTTCTAAGATCTGGTTGTACATCTCCCAGATACAGCACTAAAGATATAATGAAAAATATTAAAATGATGTAGAATTCTAGTTAAAAACATTGGCCTTAAAGGTACACACCCCCTCCCATGCATCTACCTTCATTTCCTTTTAAGTCCAGGTTAAGTCCCTCAGCAACAAAATGACTCTTGGTTTCAGAAATGACCAATGGTGTGTTTTTCCTCTTTTTTCCACAGGAATTCCTGCAATCCGCAGTGACTAAGGGGACAGGATCCAGAGCCAGCCCGCCAGGATTCAAATCTCAGTTCCCCAGCTGGTTTAACCTAGCCTCTCAATATCTCAGTTTCCAAAATGTAGATACATAGGGTGCCTAATCAGAAAGTTACTGAGAATTATATAAGATTGTAAAACCCTTCTTTCAGAGCATGGTACATACTCCGTATCAATAACTATTTTCCATCTTATGTGTAAATATTATAATTTTTATTATACTTTTAAACGTAAAACGAGGCTGAATTCATATCAGGAATGTTGCTGCCTGATCAACTGGAACTTCAAAAGCAGAAATACTTTGTCAAAGAAAAGGAGATCACTAATGTTTGTTGAGTGACCTATCCTGAGCAAGGCACTTCGTAAGTACTCAGCGTGCCTGAGACCATTCAATCCTCCTACAACTCTATGAAAGGAACAATCACTATCCTCATTCTTTTTTTTTTTTT